TTAGTGAGATATATGGCTTCATAATTAGCCCCTTGCATTTTTTCATGAGTGCTAGCATCAGCGTTCTATGATGTGTTTCCCTGATTAACAGCTGCTTTGCAACTATTTCCGTGTGCCACCGATAACCGTGTTTGTCAAGTTAGTCCTGGCAGAGCGCTGATTTCTTACTAAAATGCAGCATTTCTGTTTGAAGGGGTTTTCTTGTTCACTGCAGTGCCAGGCTTTTAAGTCAGCCCTTGTTAAAACATAAGTTGGCTTTAGCCTGATGCTTGTTAACAGGATTCTGGGTATCTCCTTTAGAGTAGGAGTGCAGAAACCTTTCACAGACAATTTAATCTTCTGAGCCTTGCAAACATACAGCCGTACACTGAGGGGGTGTTGCTGTAGGCTAATATATTGATCAGTTCCATTTGCCCTATAGCTGTGGCCTTCTGCTCTGGCTGAAATAGGTTGAGTGTGTGTTGATACTGCCGTATTATTATTTTTTAATACACTGGAAAAAAATTAATTCCAACTTCTTTTACATACGTCATGTATATTGCCAGTGTTGATTGCTTCCGCACATGTAATGTAAACTGTCTGTGCATAGTTCATGGCCTGTGCCGCCTCTGCTTAATGAAAAGAAGTGTTGCGTTTAAACAGATACAGATCCACTCAGAAAGACAAAATACCACCCCTTGCAACATATAATTCAGACCCAACCTTTACATCACAGGTCATCTCAAAGTCTCAGTCTATCAACAAACGCTGTTTAGTAATAACCTACAGAGGGTTCCCAGTATTAGGAAATCTATTAGAGCTCTTACGGGCTGCGCTCCTGGTGGCTTTTGATTCTGTTTTCCACGTGGAACTCTGTGTTACCGAATCCCGTGGAACTTTTATCATGAAGGTGATTTTCTTTTACATTTTTGTTAATCGATTGTTTTGGGGCTTTTTTTGAGGTGCTAGAAAGTGGGCATTTGCCACAGTATTTTAAATTTCATGATTTATTTTTCTAATGCTAGTAACGGATAAAGTAGCTTAGATTGCTTCATTGGAAACCCTGCAGCTTTGAGCATAATAAGAAATAAGGCTGGCTTTACCTTCGTCATTAACACAAACGGGAGGGAAATCAGGAATGAGGGACCTTGGCTATAACGTCAAAGTGCTGTGCTTTGGCTCAGAATTTTACCAGCCTGCTGCACTCCCACAACATCTGCAATAAAGTTCCTGTCTCCGTTTTATATCTTTGACATTGAAGCAGAATATTTGGCCTGAATTTATGTAATTTGGCCAGACACAAATATAATCCATGAAGAGTTACATTCATCTTCTAATTAGAAAATCAAACTGTAGGACAAGACCTGCTGCAGGATTCCACCCACCACCACCCAGTCAGAAATACGTCTTTGTGTATCGTATCACTGCAGGAGAAGTGGTGGCAGGATAGCAAGTTTATGGAGTTGACTTGCTTTTAACAGCCAAATACACTGTCTTTCCTTAAGAGAAATAGGTACCTGATCCACTAGATAAAACTAGTTTGCTGGCCAGTGTGCGCTGGCAATCTAAGAATCAAGAGTAGCGATACAATGCACATTATTTGGCAGTGTCCTAATACTATAAAAATTTGGAGAAGTGTTACAAATGATACAGAAATAGTATGGAACAATGTTACCAGCTGAGTCGGAGTGCTATTTGCCGTATGATTTTTTTGGCTATACACAGGACTGCAAAGTCTTCTCATCTTCCTCCCCCTTTTTCTGTTGTTTAAATTATGGACTGCAGTTGGCCTTGTTTGTGCAAAGAAAATGATCCATAGAAAGTAGGAAAGTTCTTGTTTATGTTTGTTGAAAATATTGGCATTTTGACATGGCCAAAATTGCTTCATAAGTTGCTCATGTATACAAGATGAATTAGTAGCGATACAATGCACATTATTTGGCAGTGTCCTAATACTATAAAAATTTGGAGAAGTGTTACAAATGATACAGAAATAGTATGGAACAATGTTACCAGCTGAGTCGGAGTGCTATTTGCCGTATGATTTTTTTGGCTATACACAGGACTCTTCTCTCTTCTCATCTTCCTCCCCCTTTTTCTGTTGTTTAAATTATGGACTGCAGTGTTTGTGCAAAGAAAATGATCCATAGAAAGTAGGAAAGTTCTTGTTTATGTTGTTGAAAATAATTGGCATTTTGACATGGCCAAAATTGCTTCATAAGTTGCTCATGTATACAAGATGAATTATAAACATGAAGATGTTTCAGCTCAGCCTATAGCAGGAATGTTCAGAGGTAAATGCAAACAAATATGAGAAACACAGGATTATTGGGAGGTGTTTCAGCTCAGCCTATAGCAGGGATGTTCAGAGGTAAATGCAAACAAATATGAGAAACACAGGATTATTGGGAGGAGGAATACATGTCCAGGATTCTTTTTTATGAAGTTTGTTGTTGCTTGTAGTTTTATTTTGTTTTAAGATTAAAAACTTTGTGAATAATGGAGGAAGTGATGCAGGGAAGAGATAAAACAGAAGTTTATTTTGGAGTGAAATTTACTACCGAAATGTTTACATTTTTACAAGGCAAAAATAAGTTTTAATAAAGAGTTAGAATCAATAAACTGTTCACATGGTTGTGATTGAAATAGCACGATGAAAAATACTGCTTATTTCTTACAGGTTTTTTAATGCTTAAAAACTGATAATTAAATATGAGAGCTTGCAGAATTTCAGGTCTGCAGGCCTTTTGTGTCTGTGTCTCCAGCTCACAAAATGTGGGAGGGAGTGTTGAGGAATTTCTGAAGAAACAAACAAGTAATTATTGTTAGAAGGAAAGTGGTTTTGATATGTTCGCATATCCGTTGGTCTGCTCATTTGGGCATCTTTCTTATTCAGCATATTATCTTAAGGTTATTAGTTTGGGCGCTTTATATTTCTGCATCTGGTGTAGCAATATCAGCACAGTTTAAATCTGTGATTTGCCTGTCACCTGCATTTCAGCTGGAGACAGATCAAGTGCACATAAATGAAACCAAAGTGTACTTTATGTGGGGTATTTTGCTATAGTATTTTATGGTTCAAAATTACTGAATGTAAACTTAAGGAAAAAAATGAAGGAGAATAAGGAAAGGCAAAGAATTAAAAATACTCCCTTCATTTTATCCTCCCAACTTTGAAGTGTGCTGGGACTTTGTCAAATTCCCGTTAAAATAAATATGTCAATTTCATCTCTCTTCCAAATTCATTTATCATGCTTTTTTAAAAGGTGTTTTCTGCTTTACCTGATGTTTAAATTGGATTCGCTCGTTTCTGCTGTTCTTTGCTGTATCCCCCATGTTTTTCTTAAATGAATTAGTAATGACAGCGTACTCCCCCCCCCCCCCCCCCCAGCCACTTTAAGGGAAGCCTGGTGATCTAAACCTTTTAACCTATTAAAGATGATTTTCCCCAATTGAATCAGACCCACCACAGGTGTAATAACTAATCATTTAAACTACACCTGCTATTATGTATTTTTAAGCCATTATGCGTGTTGGATAGATGATAATTCATGTTTATTGCATTGTCCAATGGATCCGTTTTGCCTACACTAGCCTGATTAATGTATTTAAAGAAATAAGAGATGCAATTTGAAAGAAAAAAAAATTGATGGAATGCACTGAGGAGTACATTGAAAGTGCCATTAAACCCATCAGAACTTTGCTCTCTGACCAGAAATGCATATTCGAAGGGTTTGATTCAAACACAAAGTGAAACTTAGTGATTTCAGTAGTGATGCTATTTTTTTCTTTCTTTTTCTGCTGCGAAAAGTTCTGAAAACCTTTTTGGAACTGAATTCCAGAAACTGTATTTTAAGATAAACTCTTCAAGACCTACCTAACATAGGTCTAGCGTATGCCACCACTTTAGGAGAAGGTTCACGCCACTCCTTGGGGGAGAAAAACCTCTTCCATGCATATGCATCGTTATTTTTAGCTCTAGTGGAAGGAAGTCATCTCTTCCACTAGTTCACATGGATGTGTCCATCTCCTAAGTGGTGTTAACTTCAGGCAAATTATTCCCGCTGATGCCACAATCAGAACAGATGTCTTTGTATAAAAGTAAAGTGAATCAGCTGTTTTCCACTAGTGCAGCAACACGTAGTAATGTGTGTAATAGTATAGGAGAGTATGTGGAAAGTTGACCTACCATATGAAGAAAAAATCAAATACCTTTCATTGGCGTGAAATGGAAATGAAATGGAAAAAACTAGTGCCGTTGTCATTGATGCCATTGAGTATTATCCTATACTTTACCCTTTGTTTGAATAAGTGGTTTGTTTTAAGTGCTATGTCACCTTAAAAAAGGATGTAGAAGTCAGTCTTTAGACAAAAGTAATCTGTGATTTCTGCTGGTGTGGAACATAAATTTAACCACTCACCTACCCATTTCTATCATGAAAAGTGACTTTTTTGATATTTTTGTTAATGTGATCCAAAACATGTGAAGTTGCTTCTTTTCCAGTTGTGACAAGCTGAGGTTTATTTATGGCTTTCAGTAAATTAGAATGATGGCAGAAAAGGCCTTAATCTCTTAGAATTTGCAGGGAGCTTTAAGTCAGGTAGAAAGGAAGCATTCTTACTAGTAAGCCTACTGTTACAGATCACATGCATTGTCTCAAGGTTGCCCTCAACTATAGGAGCCAACTTAGGTGAAAAGGTCACAATATAAATGACAGAAACCCCCAAGAATCTTAATGGAGTTTTTTGTACAGGTTGTGCTGCTCCAAGAGTAATTCAACAAGAAACTTCTAGGTTGAAATACCGTAATTGTGCTGTCTGATTAGAGTTGAGCCACAAACTCTGATGCTTATTGCACCATTTCTGAAAGTTGGATCAGTGTCAGCTCCAGACTGTCTCCATGTGTTGGATGCGATGCCTTACTTTGCAGTACAGAATGCATAATGTAAAATAGGAATTTGACCATTCCTAACTTGGATCTTTTCTCTCTTCTATTTCTCCAATCCTCCTACCCTCATCAGATTGTGACAGCAGTGAAGTTTTTACAGAATCCACGAGTCCGCCAAAGTCCTCTTGCAACCAGAAGAGCGTTTCTGAAGAAGAAAGGTATGGAGTCTTAAGTTTGTGGTCTCAGTGATGAGGGAGCTTGAGTTAGCGTAAAGCCAAAATGTATGGAAAAGCTATGGAAAATTAGATGCTAAGGACAAAGCAAGTAGTCTGTCTCAAAAAAAGATTTGAAGTTTGTAAGAAATATCAGTCTCTTTTCTTCCAAACTGACTAGAGCAATATTGGCACCAGATGTGGAATTATAGAATACAGAAGACGCACTGGAAGTTTTTGGGTTAACTATTATCAGATCTTTTCTGAAATCAGGACAGTTTAAAGTTGCGGACTAGTTGGTCAGTTCTAACCTTAGTGACATTGGCTTTAGAATGACCAGCTTCTAGGTGAAAAGGTCGAATATTTCCAAAGAGAGCCAGAGAGAGGAATGAAGGGCGAAGGACTTGGTGAAAGTAAACAAGGTCAGGCTGCGGTCAAGCTTGGGGTCAGCCTGACTTTCAGGCTGAAATGGTAAACTACTGACTGAGTTTAGCCCTTTTCTGTAGCAGGGATAGAACAGATCCTGACAAATCCTATATTGTCTTAGACAGATGGAACATACTTTGGCCATTGCCTACTAGGAATTTATTTTACCTTCTGACTCATAGCAAAACTATCTTTTGTTCTTTTTTTTCTTTTTAAAGTTTTTACTCCACAACTTACGGTGCATTTCAGGTGAAGTTCACTCTATATTATGCTACCCTCCTCGGACCATATTGCTTAGATCCTTACCACAAGGTGTAAATAATAAGGACAGTCTTACCTTGGAGTTAATTACATGCACTATGGAGCACTTTAAGCAGTTGGAATGATACTGAAAATACAAACTCCAAGCTTCAGAGGGGAGTGACCCACTTACACATTGAAGTTATAAGTACTTCAGGGTACATCAAATTCTACAGCTAAAGATCTTGAATTTTGAAAAGTAGGGAAGCCTATGAAATATATATTATTCTGTTTGGGGTTATGAACTGTTTATTGAGACGCCTGAGATCTGATGTCATGAGATGGAGAGTTCAAGTATATGCACCACTTTGCTCATCTTGATTAGCAAAGGACCTAGAAGAGAACGGCAGGCTTGTGTTTTAGCAATGATGTCATGACAAGTAGTTCATGGGTACATCATTTTGAGTGTGATCCTTTCACTGCTTGTCCTAGTGCCAGTTAGAGAACATTCCAATCACATAGGTATGTTGCTTGCCCTGCCCTGCCATCAGGATGGCATTAAAATTTGGACCCTGTTGGCCGCTGTGCTCCATGAGTTTTTCCTTGAAATATGTGGACCTACGGGGAGTAATTAATCATAAAAGCTTGGGGATTTCAACTCTATCATCAAAGCAATGAAGCAAGGGAAAGCTGAGCCTAAAAGCTGTGCTGATTACCCGGGGTAACCTGATACAAAATCTATTGTTGCCGAGAGATCCTTAGCCCCCAGTATATCGTGCAATATTATAACTGCCTGATCTTATTCTGTGCTGACAATGACCAGTTATTCCTCATTTTCTCTCTCAACACAGCTGGGTTAGAATTTCATTTGCAGAAGGTATTTAGAGCAATTTAGAGACAAATGTCTCTGGTGTTTGCTCTGCACTTCCCCACCGCAGGCTTCGCTGAACAGTTTTTAGTATCAGGAGCTCCATCTAATCTGTTTAATTTTAATAAATCCCTGACTGGGAGAAGAGGAAGGGTGGGGAGATGGAGGCACAGAGAAACTGTGGCCCGACTAATACTTCTTATGAATTACTTGGCTAATAATTACTAAAGAGCAGAAATGGTTTGGTAGAGCTGTTTGTTTGTTCCTGTTTGTTAATTAGCCCTCCTTCCCTTTGTGCTAATTGTTTGTTTGAAAACTTAACAGTAGGAGATAGGAAGGAGCAGGGTCCAGTAGTGCCCGTACCCAGCAGTCACTGGGAATACGTCCATATGGAATCTGACCACTGAGCTTACAACATGACCTCTGTTCAGTGCTCGAGAGCAGAAGGTACATACTGTCATGGTGCCTATGTGCTCTAGCAGATGAGGCAATTATTCTTGAAACGTAGATGTTGTGGTTAGTTTAGTCCTGAGTAAAATGGGGGATTACACGGTTTGGTAGGCTGTTCCCCCTATTCTCTGATATACAGTCATTGTCATCCCAACGACAATGTTTATCCCCATTTCACAGATAGTTAGGCTGTCTGGTAGAGAAGTCCTCACTGCCAGGCAAAAAAGCTTTTTCTGTTGAGAAACCATTTCGGTTACAAGAGTCGCTTTTAAAATTATCTTTGTAGGAAATAATACAGAGGTACCCTTGTATTTTTTTCACAGTTACTCTGATCCAAGTTTCTTCAAGCAGAAATTGCAGGAGAAGATCTTTTTATGGACCCCAGAAGAAGTTTGGTGGAGGGGAATTTTCATATCTATAGATAGCTGTATGCCATGTATGAACTTGTCTTTTGTAGTTACTTTCGTGGCACTGTACAGGAGAGGTCTATGACTCCCCACAGTCTGGTTGAAAACTCCTGCAGTAGAGAGGATGGTGCTGGATCACCTTGTGTCTGTGAATGCGGAGGGAAAAGACCAGGTGCCCTACCCCTGCAGGAGCCTGCCACTACCCCAGCTACAGCCTGTGTAGGCTACAGGGGTAGGATTGGAGCATTAGCTGTGGATGAGCTTTTGGGTCCTGCAATCGCGACTTTGCCTAAGAAATTTCACTTCTGAGACTTGCAGAGATGGTTCCGCCTTGAATTATAATTTCTTCTTCTTTTTTATAAGCATCTCCTTCCTAAAAAAGGCCAATCAAATTTTATTTCCTTTTAATATTAATTAATATTCAATATGGGAACTGGATTTTGTTTAATGCATTTCAGTGCAGTGAGAAATGAAAGTTTCTTCAGGATCATCAGCTGGACTGGGTTTGATTTTTAGTGAAACGGTAGTTGCAGAGGCTGCAAGTAGGCTTTCCTGGTTACTTGCAGGTCAGGGGTTTCCTGAACTGCTCTCCCTGGAAGATGGGATGATAGTGTTGATGACAGTTGGGAGAGCGAGGGTGTCCTGGATTTGTAAAAGGTCTTTCAAAAGTTGGATGAGATTTCTCTGTTGTCTTAAGCACTTTTAAACTCCCAGATACAGAGGCATTAATGAGAAACATGAAGTTATTAGAATAATTTATCATTTTCTTTGAAGCTTACACTGGCATTTTGTGTAATTTATGACATTTCCTCCTTTTTATCATGAACTTCTTCAGATGAAGGGAAAAACAGCTGTTTCCCCTCAGAGTATCTGAAAGAAAAGAAAGGAAAAAAAGATGCTGTTTGTTTTTTGTCCAACTCGCTGATTCTGCTGATGACATGCCACAGAATCAGTGGCGCCTTGGGAGTAATTAGACAGCATGTGGGGTTTAAACCCTTGTGGAAATGTGTCTGTCATCTAACTGTTGTGCCTCAGATGTCCTGTACTGCTCAGTTACCCATCCGGTAACTCATGTGGCTTGTTAATTTTGTGTACTCTGAATCTGTAACTTCTGGCAAGATAGAGAAAGGGGGTGGAAGTGCACTATGCATGTGGAGCTCTGTTTTTCAGGGTGCTAGTCTTTTGGGGCAGGGAAGGGAAAAACTGCTAGGTTATTGTATAATTGTATACTTATATATATACTTATTGTATAATTCTGGATGAAAAACTTTTTCCTTAGTTGCTTGTTCTCTTCATCTGTAAAACGAGTACAGTAATGCCTTCCCAGAGTGGGATTGTGGGAACAGACAAAAGCATACGAGGAGCTCAGAAATTATAGTGGTGGGAGAACAGAAGTGCATTAGGGCAAGTAAATGTATAATTGTTGAGTTATATTGGGAAAACGTCCACCCAGAAGGTTGGACAGTCTTCAGAAGATATGCTACCTGGATTGGTCTTTTGTGTGTATATATATATATGTAACATAACGGGCTACACGCTTCCAAAAGCAGTCGCGCTCTTGCTTGGTGAGATGAGTTGGAGGTTGTTGGAAGCGTTGCCCTTTTGCATGTTGTATCTATTAATCTGTTTCATTACTTTGGCTGGTAGGAAGTGAGTTACTACACAAGGTTTTCCTGTAGGTCTTGCACAGTTTTTTGCAGCGCATCGGAGTTCCAGAAAATTTTGCCAGTGTCAAGATGCCAGGCTATGGTGATTTCTGAAGAGATGAATAAATTGTTTAATTATACATGCCCCTTCCCAATCAGAGCTCAAAGACACTTGGTTCCCTGGAAACAAATGCTGTCAGCCCCATGATCTCCAGCAGAAAACTGTCTTAATTTTCTTCCTTTTTCTGTAGTCCTCATTCTTTGAAGTTGAACCCCTGTCTTTCCTTCTTTGCCAAAGAAACCCAAGTGGATCACCTTGAGGACCTGAGAGAAGGGGGCACAACCCACTGCTGGAGGGCTTTAAAGGAAGTAAATTCTTCAGCAGATTTCAATTTAACCCTCTTTTATTACTTTTTTATAATTTAAGTCCATTTCATGAGGCAGTTTGCATGTCCTTGAATGGAATCTCGTTACCATGAAAGCTTTTTTAGCATTGATTTCATAACAGTCTTAATTTAATAGCGCCATCATTACGGAGAGGCCCTGAGAGTGGGGCCCTAGCTTTCCAGGTCACTGACCTTTTAATTACAAACCTTGTTCTGATGGCCAGGTTATCGACTGGACAGCTCCCAACTCCTGCCCCCAGCATGAAGATGAAAATAACTGCCTTTCCTCCCCCACTTCCAGAAAAGGGAGGAAAAGAAAAGTAACCTCTTGTGTTTCCAAAATTAATTTTCTCCTTCAGCTTTACTTTGTAATTAATTCTTTAACATGTCTCAGTGAAGCTCGAACAGTTTTTAAAAAGCTTTTCCTTGAGAAGAAAATACAATGCAAGCCAATAGAGTCCAGTGACAACTCATACAAAAAAATACAGTTAGTAGCCTGTGCTGTCAAAATACCTATTTGGGCCAAACTGCTATGGCTCTCCAAACCTTATGCTTTTCTAGAAATGACCATGTTTGATACAAG